TCCTGCTGCGAGCGAATTGTAATAATATGCTAAGCTGTGCAAAACTGCAGGTCAGTGAGGAACATGGGCATACTAAGGTAAGAATTGTCACATTATGAGGAGAAAGAGGGAAATTTATCTTAAAATACACTCATCTCCACCCCTTTTTCTCTCTCTCTTGACTCCCTGGAGAGATACAGCACCTTTTTCTCTACTCTACAGCTCTTAGGAACATAGCTGCAGGGCTAGCCAAGAAGAGGGAAGGAGGAAGCAGGTAGGTTTTAGAGGCTCCCTGGTTTGTAAGACTAGAAAGCATCCAAAGTCGTCATTTCATGCCTATTACATAGTCAATCATTCAGCTTTTGTCTGGGAAAAACGCTTATGTGAACCTACACCTATAAGAGGAGCCTTACATCTCTGCTCTGTCCTGGTTAAAACTCCGTACGGTCTGAGAAGTCTCATCCAGCACTGACTATACAATTAAGGTCAGAGTTAGGTGCTTAGGTGATATTTAAAGCATCTACTGTTTCCACACCCCCACAAAAATCACTCTTGCTTTTGTAGAAAAGAACTTCTGTAGAGAAGATGGTGTAAGATATTAAAACAGTCTCACTCAACCCTATTCTGCTGCTTTTAGAGCATTATCTTATTCTGAACATTTCACTGACATCAAACAGGACAAAAGCTGGTCCCTCCGTCAGCACGTCTCATTGCTGGACCATATCTGTCAGGCTACTGAGTGCTCACATCTTTGCCTCCCATCATTTTATTCTGCCTGTTCTTCCCTCTGATTTCCTTTCTAGCTTTTGCCTAAAAATCCTTTTAATTTTTCTATTATTCCTCTCCCTCTCCATTTTCTATCCATGTGAGCCAAAAAACCCCAGTGACTAACATGGTAAGCATGCACTTTTAAATTCTTGCCCATTTTTGCTATTTTCTTACAAAATAGGGACAAGTACTTTGAAATTATAAAAGTTCTAGTTCTGTTTTCTTGGACTGCAAAAAGAAAAACAAAATGTCAATTATGAAAACTACTAAAAAATAGCAAAGAAGAAAAAGAAAAGCAAGGAAAATGAAGTCCCTCTCGTTTTTGTCTGACGGCTGAACAAAGTATACCACGGTGATAATGAAATGGAGGTAGCAGAAAGCAGGAAATCAGGGGATACATGGGGTACACAACATCAATCCGAGCATGCTGGTGTAGATTAGAGGGCACCATTACAAGCAATGCCGATCACAGTTAATAGCATTTTTCAGCATCTTCACCATGTTTTTGTAAAAGTTAAACAATCTCCAGCATTCTTAGACACCATTGGGTGTTATTTCCAAGGGGCAAGAGGGCAAACGGTGCCAAGTATAACAACAGATCACCATTCTGGGATGTTACAGGGTTCAAAATGTGGGCTTACGTGTGAGCTCTGCTCTTAAAGCTGAGGGGTTCTGGACGGTTTTGGATTCTGTTCCAGGTCCAGTGTCGTAATCCAGCTCCCGGTAGTAGATTCGGTATCCCAACAGCAAGCCGTTCAGACTCTCGACTTTGGGAGGCTGGAAAACATTCGCATTAAAAACGAGCTCGTTAGGATGTGCACCACAACCAGCATCCATCACGACGGGCAGTCGCTGACACCAGAGTGTTTTCCGGTGAATACAGACATTAATAACATACAGGGTCAAAGTTTGTGTAATTTGAAAAACACAAGTTAAAGATAACTAACGATTTCACCCCGTTGTGGCAATTACAAAAGGCTCTTTAGTTCAAAGTTGACACCTGATGCACTATGCTACGAGCTAAGCTCCTTTCCTACTTGGTCCACAGGAACCTGTGTGTGGTAAAGAACATAAATAAATACATCCATGAAAATGCACAGTGCTGGCCACCAGCAGTGGAACAGCAAAACAGTATTTCACTTCTCTCAAGATGGAAAGCAATAAATTATTCTGTTGAGGACAAAATCTCTTTGGTGGCTACTTTCCTTGGGGATTCTTCACAGCACATTCTTCACTTGCCATTATTGTACTGGAAGACTGAAGAGACAATAACAAAGATCTGGTGTGTCCTGGCTTTAATTAGGAAGATGAAAATAGGTCTAATTGCCTCAGAGAGGCATTCAGAGAGGAGTCACTATGTGATGGACTCTGGTGTGTTGCAAACCCAGGTTTCCTCCAGAACAGCCTGGAGCAGTACAACTGGTGTGGCCATTGGGCCACCTCAGATATGAGGGTTTTTTTAAATTCTGCAACGTGCTGGAAGATGCTCAGACATAGCAAAGGTTCCTCAGCAGCCCCTCACATCTTATACAGCCAGTGCACTGAAAAGGAGATTTCTGTTGAATGGCTTGCTTAGAGACGAGCCAAGGAATTAATATTTAGGAAAAAAAATTACTTTTATGAGTTTAATACAGGCTAAGAACTGCAGAGAAGAAAAGATGCCCTGAGCCATTTATCTTCTAAAGATTCTTGTGCTGAAATTTGAGGGGCTGAAAGTATAAATGAAAAGGATTTTAATGATGATCTTGCCTTTAATCCAGAAAGATCTCTAGCAATCTTGAGAACTTTACTAAGGAAAACCTTCTGCCCATCATGGAAAAATTAATGCTGGTGTGAAACGCTGTTGCAATAGAAAGTAATACCACATGTAATTTTAATGAAGTAAGAATATTTTTGCAGGAAAGGAGGAAGATACTTGGAAATAACCTAGCGTTCTGCTTCCAGAAATGACAAGAATTTTCCATTACTTGACTACAATGGCAAGAGGAGAGAGAGAGCTGTCCTGCCTCAGTGTAAAGGACTTTGCTTTGGGTGAGAGCTGAAGGAATTAAGCAGAAAGACTGCAATTTATGGAAACCAAAAAAGAAAAAATCGTGAAGTAGCATATACAAAAGCTACACAGGGACCAAGAAAAGGAGCAGGAACTCCTCCAGCAAGCAACTGCCTTCCTTTGCAGTTGTCCTGCCCAGAGGCTGCTGAAAGCAATCCAAATAGTCCCAAGATGTTGCTGTACTCGCTCTGCATGGTTGGAGAACCTCATCCATCATTGTTTCATGCTCATTATTGTGCTCCGTGCCTTGGAGAAGCTCTGGCCACCTTTCATTATTATTTAGTATCTACATTACAGAAGGGTCTAGGAATACAGGATTGAGAGGGACCTCAAGAATCTCAGAATCACACACAGAATTGCTCGGTTGGAAAAGCCCTCTGAGATCATCACGTCCAACCGCTCCTGTCTACCCCCTAAACCATATCCTTAAGTACCTCATCTACCTGCTCTTTAAATACATCCAGGGATGGTGACTCCACCACCTCCCTGGGCAGCCTGTTCCAGCTTCTGACGACCCTCTCAGTAAAGAACTTCCTCCTTATCTCTAACCTGAACCTCCCTTGGCACAGCTTGGTGCCGTTTCCCCTTGTTCTGTCCCCCATCACCTGGGAGAAGAGACCAGCACCCACCTCTCTACAACCTCCCTTGAGGCAGTTGTAGGTGGTGATGAGGTCTCCCCTCAGCCTTCTCTTCTCCAGGCTAAACAACCCCAGTTCCCTTAGCCGCTCCTCATAAGGCTTGTTCTCCAGACCCCTCACCATCATCAGGCCCTCAAGACTGCAGAAAGTCGGCTGCTCAAAGTCCTTTTCACAAACAGAGCAAGCTCCACCACAAACCCAGCTGATTTTTCTGCATCCTGATATTCCTACTGAAAAGTCTTTCCAAGCCTCACTACTTGGGCAGTTAGAAACCTCCATTTAATTTCAACTCTAAATAATACAGAGCTACTTTATAACCATTTGTTCCTGTGCTAACATTGCCTTTTAGGTTAAATCATTCTTTTCCCTATGGAGTGTTTACTCCCGTGATGTATTTTCAAAAGGGCAATCATATTCCCTCTCAGACTCCATTTTACAAGGCAAATAAATCAACCTCTTGTACAACACCCTTTCCTAGTCTCAGATTGAGCCCCTCGTCCAAGAGACTGAACAAACAGACCAAAAAAAGCAACAGTCTTCTCCAGGGCTGCCTGATGATGTGATCGCTCATGGATCAGCTGAAATGTTCTTGACAATGAAAACAAAATACCATGACCATTACATGGGTTTGTATTTCAGTTAATTATTACCTAGAATGAAGGTGCTTTTGGAAAAACTCATTGTCTTCTCCTATTTTAACTAATAATATACATTTTTTTTAATCTAAAAAAGAAGTTGAGGTGGAATATCCTCCAGAATCTTCAAAAGAGGCTGTTCCTTCCTGCTCTGCCGTGTAACTGCCTAACAGATAAAGTTTAATTCCTCATTGCGGTACAACACTGATCTGTTGATAGCAAGCATTGTTTTCTCATGCTTTGATGTTGATTCTCCACTTTTTCCTTCCTTTAAATTTAGGACAGGAAAGCTCAGAAAATAAATGGCTTGAAAACTGTCTTTCTCCTTGCCGTGGAAATGATGATTCTTTCCTGAAAAGGGTACTCTGCTAAAAGGTCAGGTCTTCCCCTTCCTATCTGTCTTTCATGGACAAAACTCTGCTTTTGATGTAATGGATTATTTAAGATTTTGTAGGAAGGCCTGAGGGATCTGCTGAAATAGGTAAAATGATTATGAGTGGCAGCCCGTAATGTTGTACAGAAGTAAGAGTAACATTTTTGTGCTGTTTAAAAAAAAGACTAAAATGTAAGTCTGAGTAATTGTTATCTCTATGGTAAAAGCAGAACAGTACATGATCCTGATGTTAACTGTAATATGCTCCTGAACATTTGAAATAACCTTGCATTATTGATACAACAGACCTCAATGGAAATTACTTATTTTCTCCCTACTTTAAATTTAAAAATAATGGACTGATTGGACCAAGCAGCTGAAAGCACAGATAGTGCATCTAGAGTTTGTTTTGTGAATTATTAACACAGCTCAAAGTTAAAAATTTAGCTTTGCTTGGAAATCTACTCTCCCATTTAGCTTGACTGCTGTTTTCAGTTTACATTATTTCTTAGACACTGCTGTGAAACCTCCTCTTAATTGGAGGCTATTGTGGGACTTGAAGATTTTTGTTTATTTGAAAAATACAGTACGGCTGAATTACCAGGACCTATTAATATACATGTAGTAATGACATATAATCGCCCACAACTCCCTTGAGACGGCTCTGGCACAACAACCCCATTTCATTTTCATGAAATAAAAAGCATCCAATTACCTAAACAACCACCTATTTCACATTAACTACACACCAATAATCAGTCAATTGGGGGAATGTTGATTTCTGCGGTACATCACGCCTCACATCCTCTTTGTCCTCTCTTTGTCTACCTTTTTCTCTTCACCGTGGGCTTTATTTGTAGGTGGGGCAGTAGATTTACATCTCTCCATAATTCCTTCGGTGAAACTGCTCAACATGTCTTCTGTTTGTTCAACATGCTGTAAGCGGTGATGTTACTCAGTGTTGAGCTGCGTGAACTTGGGCCAGCAACCCAGCACTACAGTCAGGCGTATTTTTAAAGTGCTGCTGCATAGCAATAAACAGACCCTCATACATATATTTTTTCCTTTTTTTTTCCCCAAAAATGCAAGGAGCCCCATCTGTACTGTAAAGGCATATGTACATTTTTCACTGTAACACAATCTGTCCAAAGTTATCCTTATTATGTTTGTGGGACATTGTCTCAGGAGCAGGGTGCACAGAGGCTTTCCAGGATAGGTTACGGATAACGTGCAGTGCTCCACTGGGTTCCCTCTATTAATGCTCACTCTGCAAAAAAAAACCCTCAGACACCGGGTCACAAAATGTTCCAGCGTCTCCCAGGAGGCCAGTATTGAAAGATAAAGGAAGGCAGAGGAAATGCCTGTATAAAATGCAGACTTGGCACGAATACTTTCACATCCATCTTGGAGATATTTCGGAGAGCTCAAACTTCCTTTCTTTTCTCTGAAGAAATCTCGATTCTTAGCCCTCAAAGAGCCAAAAGGGCACACGGAGCTCCTCAAAGGTACGAGCAGGATCTCAGGCACAGCGTATGCCTCTGATTATTTCAGCAGCTGGAGGAGGCAGTACGCGAGATGAAGGAAAGCGAGCTTTTCATTACCTGATCTTCACCCGTGCTGCACTCTGTTGAATGTTTCCAATGTAAAGATGCACGACTATTGATACCGATGAAAGGACAGGAGAATCTGTACCAGTAATGATCTTGGACATTGCTACAGAAACTCCTTTACCTCCCAAGCTTTTCCTCATGGGGCATAAAGTAAAAGCAACCGCCAGAAATTTCCATCCATCACTAAAATATATGCCTAGATCAGGAAAATAAGGAAGTAACTGCAGTCCTTTAACTTTACTACACTACTTCCAGCTCAGGAAAACCTTCCTTGCGATGTATCATTAAGGTCAACAAGTCAAAGAAACCACAAAATTGTTCCAGAAACATCAATTTTTTTCATTTTACCTACCTGCCACTGCACAAGAACAGATGAAGTCGTGTGGGGAGTCACTAACACAGAACTGGGTGGCTCACCTGGAACTAAATATGGAAAAAAAAAAAGATAACCACAGCAGTTATAGCAACAGGGTGGAAAATGGACAGCTTTTATTAATCAGATTCTCTTTATTAGTGTGCTGAAGAAAAAAATCTTCTATCCCTTGCTACGTGGTGGGTCTCAAAAAGCAATGCGGGGCATATTCATATCACTGCAAGCCAGGCAGAGCCAGCCACTTCTCACGCATCCCTTGCTCTACCTGTGGCCTTGGCAACTTGAGCAGGAATAAGAGAAAAGCTGCAGGCATAAATCTGGAGGAGGCTGCAGCGTGCCAGCCGCTCACAAACAGCTGGAACACGCTGGAAAGGAAAAGCTAAACCAGCTGTGTGTGTGCTTAAAAGTGTGAGTAAACCGCTCCCAAATTTTCCATAGTATCTTTGCCACAGCTGGGGCAAGCCCACCTTGTTTTTAGGAGTCTATGTCACATATTCACAGGTTTTTTTAGTTAGGATAGCTTGATTTACCACGGGTTAACCCATTCCTGTGCCCATGGCCTATAGCACACACACACACAGAGCATAGCAGCTCGAATAGAAAGAGAGAAAGGCTTATCAGGGGCTGACAGCCCTCCGTGGTGCAATGATCTAGTGGCAGCACCAGGTTTGCTCAGCAAAATAAATGTTCAGTTTGTTAAGGAGGTGAGAAGCTTTCGCAGTGTTTCCCCTTTGTATTGTGAGGAGGCCAAGCACAACTCTGGAATCACTGTAGCTAAATTCAAAGAGAATTGAAAATAAAATTTTAAATCCTGAAACAGTCAATGCTGCCTCATCAGTACCAGTTACAGCCTGCACCAGTGCAGCAACTGCTTTTCAGCAAGGTGGAGATTCAGGATGTCTTTAAAAGGTTGTTAGGGGCATTATTCAAGTATTACGTGGGTTCTTTAACTTAGGATACTCTTGAGCTCTGCTCTCTGCTTTTCTGATTTCAAGATCACATTATTTAAACATCCCTTTGAAAAATAGTTTTCTATTTTTGTTTCCGAATGCAATATTTAACTAGTCACTGTATAAAATACTGGCTAATTCCTAGCACCATATATATATTTATATATATATCTATATATGTATGTATGTATGTATGTATGTATCCCAGTACTGTCCTATGTCCCAGGTTAAGGTTAAATACTGATGCTTTTTCCTTTCTCCATTCACGACATCAGAGCTACTTTTGCATTCAGGCATTGCCTTTATACAATCAAGGAATTAGAAGCTGATCTCTAAGGCTAAAAATAAAAGCCCTGTCAATGTCATTCACAGTTTATTAGCCCTGATCTGCAGGATTAAATGCTCATGTTTCCAGGAGCTTCATACTCTTTCTTACTTATACCTCAGCAAGTTTGCCATATTGCAGACTGATGTGGATTGCAAGTAAAAACAATTGAAGAAACTTCTTCAAATGTATGCATGGTTCTACATTTATTTTTAATGATCTCTTGTAAATTATTCAATTTCTGCGAAGATAATGGTTAGTGCAGAGTTTGGAAGCCAATCAAACGGAGTTTAATTCCATTTTGAGACTCCTGAAAGTATGATTCATTATCAGAGGGCACAGCAGGACACTTAAGGCTGCCTGTTATTAATTCAGCCACATCTCATTACTACCTGTATCAATCTCCTATGAACAAAATTGCATTGGATGTTGCATTTTCACTCCACAGTCCCAGTGGAGGACACATTGTAGTGGCTTCAGCCACCCCTGGAGCACTGGGGAGCGCCCGTCTCATGGTGATGCCCCCGCCGTGCCTCTCCTCCTCGCTTACCATCCTGCAGAGTGGTGACTGCTTCAGTCTCCGCACTGAAGTCACTGTCTCCGATGTCGTTGGTTGCTTTCACTCGCAGTTTGTAAGAGGTGAACGGGTTCAAGCTGTGGAATGTAAAAAAGAGGGTGGAGTGATGAAATCTCCCCATATCATCACTACTGAACAAGCCTCTACAGAGCATCTGCCCATTGGCAACCAAAGTCATGGAGCAGTTTGTCTCTTCTCCACATCACCTTCTCTTTACAGACTCCCCCAGCTCCCTCAGGACGCGGGGGTGTTCACATCCCTGCTGCCATCAGCACCTTCTCAGATTTCCCTTGGGTTGAGTTCCCGAAAACACACATGGATTCATAGCTGGATTGCGCTCCAGAAAACAGCCATGGAGTTGCAGTTCACGGAGCAGCCTACGACTGGGGCATGTTGGAAAGGACGAGAGTTATTCATGTTTAGCATAGCTACGCAAAACCTGGATTTCAAGGTGCTTTGCCTGAGATAGCCTCAGAACAGGTCCGCGGGTCAGCTCATCCTCAGTGTGTGGATGTTTATGACAGGTAGGGAGGAGGAAGGTAAAGGTGCCCGGGGTCAGCGCACAGCAGGCACTGGCATTCCCAGCACCAGCCTTCTGACTAAGCCTCTGTCTGTACCGTTTGATCACTGCCTTTTATTCCTAGTGAATTTCAAATTAATGCTATTACCTGGATTATTTAATAAAGACAGTAACAACAGGTTCCCTGCAGCTCTTCTATCTATGCAGTGCTTTAAGTTATGCAAAGAGCGATTTCCAGCTGACATAACCTTCGCAAGGATCCTTCTGTCTCGGCTTGGCAGGGGCAGGCGTGGGGGAGGCTGCATTTTGAGTCACACGCAGAGGCTAGAAATGCAGAGCTGTAAGTTACAGGGGATTTAGCTAATTAATTGGTAGTGTCTAGCCATCAGCTGGCAGATGTAACACTGCCTACAAACCCAAGTAAAGTTACTTGTAAGGAATGATTAAACATCAAGGGCTAATGCATTGTGATGGGCAGCACTCTTGCACCAGCCGTGTACGACTCTTCTGGACTTTCAGAGGAAAATGCTTTTAGCGAAGAGGAGAAGAAATCTTTTCAGTAGTTCCACCCTATTAGGACACCATTACTTACCTAGAACAGCTTGAATAATTTGAGCCACCTTTCTTGATCTTTTGTTTTCAGTAATGCCAATGTCAAGCCTAAATGACATAGTTGGCTTCCTTGATTTTACAGGTTTTGACTGGAAGGATACTGGGTATAACTCAGGGTGGGGCTAACACCTCCAAGGTCAATATTTGCACCTATAATAGTCAAGTTTTCCTTTTTTCTGCACAGGTAGACAAAAGGATAGTGATGTATCTGTATCTTCTGGCATGTGACCAGCAAACTGCCATGTACCACAGCCACTGTTTTTTATAACAGACCTGAAAAATCTGTATCTGAACACTCTGAATACTTGATTCTCCAAAAGCTCATGGCCTTTTAAAAATAATCTGATTTGTGCTAGCTGGTCAATAGAGAAAATGGACAGCAAAACAAGTACTTCTCATAGACATTCAATTGCTTTTACAGACGTTACAAGGACTTTAATTACAACAGCATTGCTGAGGATATAATGAAGCCTGAATAACAAAGTTTAAACATTCTGATGCTATCTATAAACTTCAGTATGGAAAACACAGATAAAAATGATTCCTATTTCATCTGGAAAAGCTTATATAGAGATAATTGCAATCCAGCATTGAGAGTGGATTTTAACATCAGTCAGTACTGAAAGGATTTTTAACTAGTTGTATTTTATAGAGCATTGTGTAACTACATATGGTTTAGCCTGAGTAGTGTTATCTACCATGCTGAGCTTTCACGGAGGGCTTCAAAAAGATGCATTGCAATCCAACTTTAATTAGATTTGTTGCGTGACCTTCAGCAAATCTCTCAACTGCTGTTCATAACACAACCTCTAAAACAGGAGCAGTAATCTCACTTAAACTCTCTCCCCTAAAAAGACTGTGAAGATGAGTGACACTAGCTTTGGCTTCCTAACTGCTGGAAGTGGAAAATGTGGGAATTTCTTTCACCGTACCTTTCAATATTGCAGGATGTTGCCTCATGGCTGATGGAAGAGGAGTAGGTTTGCCAGTCTCCGTGTGGCAGTTCTCGCACTTGTACTGTAAAATATCGGATTGGTGAAGATCCATCACTTCCAGGGACCCACTTCAACAGCAGACTCCGTGAGGACACATCACTCTGGGGGGTCATCAGCTGTCTGGGAGGTGCTGGTCGTTCTGCAATCAAACCACAGTTTGGTACTGCTTTGAGAGCAAATTCATGGTAACATAAAACATGACAGCCTGATCAGATTTTCAGTGGTAATGCCACAAGAGATCGAACTTTCGGACTTGCCCCATGAAGTATACAAGCCATCCCATTTCTTAACCTTCTACTGCAAACAAGATCAGTAAACCTCATTCTTATCTCCCTGAAAAAAAGGTCACCATTGAACACACATTTTTTCCTAGCAACAGGCCCCAAACACGGAGGGGGGGGCGGTCCTTACCCTGGCAGTTGGTATTGGGTCTGTGTGGCAAGGTTTTGGTACTGGGTGGTTTCTGTGAGAAGCTGCCAGAAGCTTTCTCTATGTCCGATAGGGCCAATGCCAGCTGGCTTCTGCTGCTGGCCAAGGCTGAGGCAAGCTGAGTGGAGTGGTAGCACCTCTATGGTAAAATATTTAAGAAGTGGGGCAAAAAACCCTGCACAAGTGCAGCCAGAGAAGAGATGAATGAGTGTGTGAGAGAGACAACTCTACAAACACCAAGGTCAGTGAAGGGGGGGAGAAGGTGCTGCAGGTTCCATAGCAGAGATTCTCCTGCAGTGGTAAAGACCATGGTGAGGCAGACTGTGCCCCTGCAGCCCATGGGGGTTAATGGTGGAGCAGATATCTACCTGCAGCCCATGGAGGACTCCAAACTGGAGCAGGTAGATGGATCCAAAGAAGGCTGTGACTCTGTAAGGTGTGATGAACTGACCACAACTCCCATTCCCTGTCCCCCTTGTGCCCCTCAAGAGAGAAGAGGTAGAGAACCTGGGAGTAAAGTTAAGCCTGGGAAAAAGGAGGGGTGAGGGGGAAGGTGTATTTAAGAGTTGGTTTTATTTCTCATTACCCTACCCTGATTTGATTGATAATAAATTAAACTAACCTCCCCAAGTCGAATTTGTTTTGCTTGTGACAGTAACTGGTGAGTGATCTCTCCCTGTCCTTATCTCAACCCACGAGCCTTTCATTACATTTTCTCTCCCCTGTCCAGCTGAGGTCATAGAGCAGCTTTGGTGAGCACCAGGCATCCAGCCAGGGTCAACCCACCACACAGGTTAAGGAATAACCATTAAGACAAGCAGCCAAACAAACCAAGCCAGGTTTAATGAAACTCAGTGGTGCTTCCAGTTGCACTTGCCATTTTGACATAATTTGCTTGCAAACTAGTTCAATTTTTAACCTGTGCTTACTACTTGGTACTACAGGACTAAGTTATCTCTGTGCTACATAGCATCCTCTTCCACCAGCTGCTCCCCAGTCGAGCCATGAAGGGGCAGGGATGAAGCTAGACAGAGCGGAGTGTAGCAGAGCCCAGGTTTACAGCCGATACTGAATTCCTGCACCAGCTGCCTCTGGCAAAGGACAGGGAACCATCAGCAGCTCCTGCTGCTGCTTCCAAATCCCAGTTTGGAGACAATACAGAGCTGGGGCTCGGTACCCGCTGCAGTTCCCTTCCAAACCTCCCTTCTTCTTCCCTTCACATCCTCTAACCTTGAACCTGCAAAGTCAAACCAGCCAGTGCCAAGGCTGAGGGAGATCTCTCCAGAGTAATTAACTGTACGCCTTTTAGATGAGGCAGGGAATGGTAATGCAGGTGTAAGGACGCCAGTCCCCAACTGCTCCAGTATAGATCTCCTTTCCCGTCACTGCGTCTCCGCACTCCATCGATTTCAATAGAGAAACTCTATAGAGTGAGGAATAATTGTTTAATTGTTTATCATGAAGATTATTGATTCTGATTAAAATGTGTGGCATGTAATAAAGCAAAAATTGATTGCAGACACCGCAGTGACTTGCTTTTGAGAAGCAATTCAATTCAACTTCATCAGCACTTGTTTCCATAAACACACCTCTGCCTGCCCGATTCCTCACAGCCCTGTATGCCGAGCGCTTCATTTCCATGCCATCCCCGAAAATCGTTTCCTGTGCGTTTTGGCATTTCTCTGCAGCGTGCTCTTGCTGACATCAGTGCCCAAAGATTTGTAAGCTATTAGCTGGAGGAAGCCCTCGGTGCCAGCAGCCCGCGAGCCGGAGCACGATGCAAAAGGTCAATGCCTTACACTGACAGGCTGAGACAGGTACTCAGGGTCGTTCTAGCAGAGGAAGCAAGTGCCGGGCAGGGATTTAATCCTCTCTGCTGATAACTTTAACCAGCTTGCAGTTTTGGGCAGGTCAGATCTTGCAGTCACAGTCTCCCATGATTGGGTTTCCCTCTGCTGCTAAAGGGAGATCTTAAAATCTCCTGTATTGCAAGATATACTTCTTGACTGTTTGTACAAAACCATTAGTATAAAGAGTTTATTTATGGGAGTTTGGCCACAAGCAAATGCTAAGGTGAGTTCTTTGTGCAGGAATGTAAGGCCAGGCCATATGACTCAATGGGCGACTTTTAATTTCTCACTACATTGACATTTTCAGACTCAGTTCCGCCACGATCATTGGTGTTGACTATTCTGTAGGGTATCACACCACCATTTCAATGGACAAGAGTGCCCAATTTTGCTAATTTTCAAGGGAATTTTTGTGCCTGCCTACCTTAGTATCAAAAACTACAAGGATATGAAATGCATTTTTATTAATGGTATTTAAATATCTTTTCACTCTAGAATATTTACTGTCATGTGCACAAGTTTTGGGTTTGTTTGTTTATTTACTTGCTAGCAGAATAGCTGCACTAGATAAATTTATTTATCATCCCCTCATATCAATCTTGCTGATGCGAGATTACAGATTCTTCTCTTTGCACTTTACATATGGGATCAGCTCAGTTAACACTCGGTGCCTTGGGACTCTGTTCCACAGCATGCAGAGAGACACAGCAGAGCCATCCATCAAAAGGAGAAAGGGTTCATTTTACACTATGCCTTGCCTATTCAAGATAACCCTAAAGCATTGATAGCAACAAGGGATCACTGTTCCCGCAGCGGAGCTGGGAGTTCTGCCGTGAGCTATTGTGTATCCAGCCGCAGCTTGTGCACGGTCTGAGAAATGTGAGCACATTTTATTGAAAAGGAGAGGCTCTGAGCTTTGAGTATTCACTTTATTAGGCATCGTGGTTTTTTTTTCCTGAAACTTCCACATGTTGGACTTCAAACTTCCACTTTGACAGCAATCAGACAGGGGTGGAAGAAACCCTGAGCTGATAAATCTCTTTGATGGACAGTATCTTTAGCAGAGGCACTTTAGGTTTCCTAACACAGCTCTAGAGGCTCTCTCTGTGAGGACTGCGCTGTTATGCACTTGGAAGGCTGCACATGACCTGCAGAGCTCTGCCAGGGGGAAGTTTAACACCAACCAGATAGGCCAGAAGTAGCTGAAATGTACCCCACAGGTTCTTGCTGCTGATGGTTGAACATCAGGCCAATGTCCTCTCTTCTTAAAATAAAATAATAAGGAAGATACTGTGGGCAAATAGCATGGGAAATGCTTACTGTTGCGCTAAATGATTTGCAAGGTGTAGAAAGGACTTAAAACAAGAGACTACTTAGTAGGCATGTTTTAAGAACTAAAAGTAAATAGAATTGGTTGTATTATGGTGCAAGATTCGGGGTAAGAGAAAAAACCGGGCACACAAACACATGCAAAAGCGCTAACAACAGCTGAAAGACGTCTATGCGAGTCTACCCTAGTTACCTGCTGAAGCGTGCTGCTCTCTGACTTGTGATTTTCATAAATCACAGAAGTGGCATGGTTCTAATTTTTGAGGGAGTAGTTTTCTTAAAGATCAACGTTAGAGATTCCGAATGCGAATAACCATTTTACGGCTGATGCAAGAAGCAGAAAAATTCTGGGCAGTCCAGATGCGAACACTCAAGTGTGCGGCAGTGAAAGGCCAGAGTAATTACTAACACATTAGGTCAGGGCTGAGGCACAATGGAGGAGCCATGGAGAAATCCTGCAACATCACTCACCTCTCATTTTGCATTCCCTAATCAATATAATTCATCCATCACTTTCTTAAGATTTCAAACTTTCCAGAAAACGAGAGAACTGAAAAAAATAATAAATCCGACTTCAGAAGGAGCTGCATACGGCCAATATAGCGGCTGATGGAAAAATCAATCTCCAACAGCCCGGCAGGTTAGAAGAGCTGTGTCTCATAAAAGCCTGTCTTGCTCACCAGCTTTCTCAAATCATGATGTTGCTATGGTTTGGGGCAGGTTTATGGGGTGAGGAGGAGGAGATGCACAGGCTGTAGCCTGTTATTAGAATTCCCCTAAGTGCAGCGCAGGCTCCAAGGCATGCAACAGAAAGTGCCTCGACCTGTGGCTGCAAGCATTACCTCTTTTTTCTGTAGTGATCACTGTGGCTTCCAGAGGCTCCCCCCAGCCCTGCCTGGTCTTGGCAGATGTTCGGAAGATGTACGCTGACTCCGGGGCGAGATCTGTAGCTGTAAACTGCCTGACTGTAGAGCCAACCTCCACCGTCGTGAACTTGTTAGGGCTGCTGCTGGCCAGCCGGTAGGCGATCTGATACCCTGAAATCACAGCAGCAACAAAAGACAGGTTAGGATTTTTTCCTGGCAGAGACAAAAGAACACCAAAAGTACTAGTTTGTTGTAATTCATTGTTTATCTGACACCAGAACAAACTACTTTGCTTCCTTTAGTGCCATAAGGCTCTGCTGTATGATAGCGCTCCCCCAGTCACGTGCCGTACCTTACAAGGGAAATCACACACTGTGGCACACACAAGGGTCTACCGAATATTATCTGCCATTAAACTGATCTCAATTTCCACCTTTTACACCAATAAGATACAAAAATGGTTTAATCTTTCCTGAGAATACTGGAAAGGCCTAGAAACAGAGTCCATGCAATTAGAGTTGAGCCAGTTCAAGCCAACAGTCTCTGTTTCAGCTTTCCACCCAAACCCATGCCCACACACGTGTATGCGCACACGCTCACATGCAGCTCTGCCCTCTCACACTTTCAATATTGGCTCTAACTAAAGGTTCCTCAGCTGCAGAGCAGCTGGACTGCCCAAACCATGCAGCCTTTGTACTGCTCAAGTCAAGATTTGCTCCTGATTTTTGCTTTTTTCTCAGCTCTCCCACTCCTCTGTAACTGCAGCAAGTGCCAGAACTGCCAATAAAAGCATCCTCCTTCTATCATTCAACGTTCCTGCCCTTGCCCATAGCCCAAGGAAGAAGCCTGCGAGCTGTGAGGTCCTGCTTCAACCATGCAGCACTTAATAATCAATTTTGTTGATGCCCGTAAGTGATAACTCCTATTCCAACCTGCCTGACAATTAGGAGTTCACAGTTTAGCCTGTATTATTAATGATCCAACTGTGCAAGAGAGGCCTTCCAGAGCTCTCACGCACCACTAGCAACAACTGTCCCCCAAAGAGGAGCTGCCAAATGTTCAAATCCATTCTGTAAACCCAGCAATTGAATCAGGCTCTCACTTCTGGAGCTCAATGGTAGCTTTCAGTCCAGCTGCTGACTTCCAAAATCAATTAATACCAGAACTGGAGTGGGGCTTTGTTGCCCAAGCTGAATACAGTTGTATGATTAAATGCTTCACGGAGTTACACAGGGCAGAGGGCAGCCAACAAATCCAAATCAAACCAGCTGAAAACAAAACAGTCGTGACACGACTCTGCCAAGCCTCTGCTCATCTTCCAAATGACAGAGGGGTCTGCAGCACCTGAGACCATCTCTTTCTCTTGGAATTGATATCCCAGTTACAGTTTGAGCTCCCATTGCGTTTTGGCCATAACAAGAACAAGGGGAGCCAAACCTGGCGTGCTTCATTTGCGAAGGTCAGCACATGAAAACTGAGGTTTTTTTCTTACCTGTGGCTACGAGGCAAAATCAATGACACTTATTTCCCACTGTGAATATGCAGCAATTGGCACATGCCTACACACAGAAAAGGCACAGAGTTCCTGCGGTCTCCTGTACTGTATGAGTGCCATACTTGCGTGTGGTGCACGCTGCCACAAACAGTGGAATTTAATTGGGATACAGATGGTATTAATTTTGGTGTGCGGACTCTCACAGTGCTGTTGACCACGAACCAGCGTTTCCTTGTCCATTTTTCTCTAGCAGCTGCTAGGGGATGTGAGGCCACAGCCATAGCTGCCTCATGTGGAACAAATTAGATTGCACCGACACCTCAAAGAGCAACTTGGCTTTTCTTCAGCCCAAGCTCCCCCAGGCTGCAGCTACAAACGGGTCTGGGGACAAAGCTGATTCACCAAAGTGCCTTAATGTTGATTTTTCACAGCTCCTGAGCATGTAAAGATCCCAGCAAAGTCTTAGGGTCTTACGCTTTGAGCATTTCATTTTATCACCTGCAAACTACCTCCTTTTATCCATGGCACCAGCTCTCCCATTACTGGTCCAATATATTTCACAAAAATGTTTCTGTACCTTTAATACTGAAGTATTTTGATCTTTTTTAAAGTCCAGAGAAAGTCAGATAGCAATGGGGATAAGGAACTGATATACTACAATCTTTTTTGTTTATATAGATGTGAAGAACGCAGGAGTGAGGACCCCAGTGCAGGATCTCAATAAGGGGGAAAAAACAGTCAAAGAAAAGCACTGGGGAAATTTTTACAGCAGCAGAGCAGGGAAGATGAAGGAAGAAGCAGCTAAGATGGCTGAAGAAATTTGATAAAGGGACATAAGACGTGAAGGATAAGACCTGGAGGGAAACAGAATATTAAAAGAATAGAAAAGTTGATTTATCTAGTTATTAAAAGATAAGTATGATATCTGGGACACATCCTTGTCGAGCAATTTCCTCTCTTTTCGAAACTTTTGTAAAATATAAAGTGTAGTTAAAATGTAAGGAGGGAATAGAAAGATAACTATTTACTGCTAAATGGCGCTACTCATGCTGGAAAGCCAATTACAAACATGCTCAGATTAGGCAGAGGAACACATACATATCTAGGCCATTACAATAACTTACACAAGAGTGGATCCTTGGCTAAAGCAAAAACTAATTTAGCCACAAGAAAGAGGAAATCACTCGTCACAGCCTGCCTCTGACAGGCTCTGCAAAGTCCCCTCCAATGCATCCCTCTGAAAAACAGCATCAGCCCTCACTGTCCTCTCCTACCCCTGCCGTGTTGGTTGGCACTCAGAGCAAATATCTGTTTTCCTGGCTATCTCAGGCAGAGTTTACACAACCAGAGCCACCACTTTTACGCATTTCCTCAGAAACAAAACACTTCCCTCTCTCTGATGGAGGACACATATCCAACCTCTGCACCTGAGCTCAGCTCACTCTTATTCCACCTACAAACCGCCTGAGAGACACCCAGCATCTTCATTTTGATCCCCTACGTCACCTTCTCCTATCAGACAGCTTGGGACAGACAGGATACACACTGGCATAAAAAGCATCATTTTTCTCTTTCTCTGAGTGACACAGAAGATGCAGTATTTAAACCACAGCTTGGATAATAATTAGGGCTAACGCAAGATCAAAAAGATAAAATTATTAAGTTGATGGATTTCAGCAACAAGGGATGGGAGAAGACAGGAAATGTTAAGTGACATCAAACGAGGCAAATCAATAGAGGTAAATGGAAAGTGTTCAAAGAGAAATTAATGTATGCTCAGGGGCTCTAAGAGGCAATAACCACAATTGCTGCAGTGGAGGAATAAGGAAGCTTCCTTCCCCTATTAGAGCATGACAATAAGATGTCACAGGTATCTTAGATTGAAAAAATAAAAAAGCAAAGGTTATGAATGAAACTAAGATCTTTAAAAGGTTGTCAGAGCAAACTTTCTTGGGAAAGGAATATCTTACAGAGTATGAAGTATCGGGATGGTCAATAAGAAGAATTCATGTCGTTTTCTTAATTTTTCTTTTTTCCCCATATTAGATCCCAATTCACTTCTGCTATTGGGAGTTCTGCTGTTCACCAGGCATTCAATCACCATTCAAAACAGCATTAAAAAAGCCCTGAAAGATCAACTCTTCAGGAGTTTATTTATTCATTGAAACTAGGCTTATTTTTACATTAGCATCTTTTTAAGTATTTTTTGCACAACTGCAAGCGGTTTATGAGCTACGCTTTCTGAACTCAATAAATGGCAACAGACTGAACTGCCTGTTAAATGTTAGGTCATTGCAACACAACCAGTGGATTCCCCAAAGCAAACAGGCAGGAAGATGACAACACTCCATGAATATAAAAAAGCTTTCAAGCTCATCACCATACAAAGCCCTTCAGAAGTGACAGCACCCGTTCATGCAGGCCATGGTGCAGCAGAGATACAAACATTTATTAATTTGTCACAGAACTTAGGGAAAGCCAAACGATATTGGGAGGTTACGCTCTGCCTACTGGAGCAGCAATCCAGTTTGTTGATTTTACTGCTTATCTGTTTAAGGGCCAGCGGGTGTGCAAATGCAGTCTGGGATCAAAATATGAATTTGCAAACATGGATTACATCCAATTTTGGTTCTAATTCTCAGTGGAGTTCTTACAATAAGCTGCAGGTAAATGCTAAATACAACGATACCATGAGGAATACTAACCAGAGCCGGGAAGGATGGGGGTTGAGCTCTCATTTGCAGGGGAAGCTCATGGCTACAAGTGCGAGTACGCACATTAAGGCATCATCTTTCCTTAACAGTATCCAAAAGGACTATGCTGGGTGCTAGCTGAACCGAGTGCAGAAAAGAAGATAGAGCAAAGCCTCAGATGGTTACTGCAACATTCCCAAAAGGAGAAATGGAAATATCTAGCAGTCTTCCACAGTAAAATATTTAAACAAACAAACAAGTGGTTTTCCCTCTTGGTGCCTGCCAGTTATTTCATCCTGCTAATCTCTCTCTGAAATGCTAGAACATGTTTTGATACAGATTACAGAAATGTTAGCTGCAAAGGTGCTTGTATACTCAGAGGACAAAGCTAGCAGAGCAGGAACATTAGTTCAAAGGCTCTGAATATAAGTTGCTCTTGCAAAACAAGTATTTTTTCTTTCTAACTCCACTAGTGAATTGAGGGCCACTGCGCAAAATTATGTTAACTTATTTTTTCCAACAACTCTACCTCAGTGCACTTGACCGTGGTGGTCACAGTGGTGTTTTGGAAGTTCATTACAGTAATGAGATTTAAAAGGTGCACAGGAAAAAAACCCACCAAAACTTGCAACCTTTACTTAGAAAGCTACACATTGGTTTTTTATCTATTTCTGAAGCACTCCTCACTTCTTAGGAAAGATCACAGAAGTACCCAGCATGAGTAATTCTTACTTTTTCTCTCTGACATCGGTAGCTAACTACTTCCTCCACGAACCTCAACGTTTCTACTATCAAAAAATCTAAAGGAGTGAGAAGTGTTGAATAAAGACAATGGACTTCAAAGAGGTGGACTGGGGAAATTGGCAGGTAACGTCCCCCTGGGAAGGAATTCTAAGGGAAAGAAGAATTCAGGTTAGCTGACAGTTTTAAAAGAGACCAAAAAAAAAAAAAGGTACAACTATCCCAGCGCAGACAAAAGACATGAAGAGGCCAATATGTTTGCATTCAGAGCTCACTAATGACCTGAAAATCAAAACTGAATCGGACAAAAGTTGAAGCAGGACACGTGTCTAAGGGAGTGTATAAATAGACAGCACAAGCACACAGGGACAAAATCAGAATGGCCAAAGTGCAAAGTGACTTAGAACTTAAAGGGCATCAAAGGCAACAAGAAAGATTTTATAAAAACATTAGAAATTCAAGAGACAGAAGGAGGACAGGTCAACTACAGGGAAGAAAAGACGAACACAAGCCAGGTGAGACACAAGAGAGCGGAAGGCTGATACCTCCATTGCTTCATTTTCAGACACAAAAGAAGTTGATGCTGACTAGATACTTTACTCAAATTAAAACTGACAACAGTGTAAGCAGGGGTGTAGGCTAGAACAGACAACAGGGTAATGAATATTTAGTTAAGCTAGAAGTAATCAAGCCAGAAAGGCTTGATGGAATTTGTCTTGCAGTCCTTATGTCGCTAGCTGGACCCATCTCCAAATAATTAGTGATTATCTTCTTGGGGACATGACAGGTGACATCCCAGAATATTACAGAAGTACCCTATCTTTTAAAATGGGGAAAGGAAAAACAGTGGAATTATGGACAAATCAAGTTGAAGTTCAATACCGAGAAAGATCCCGCAAAAAATATGAGTCAATATATAAGTATCCATGAAGATAATAAAGTGCCAAGTAACCGCCAATACGTATTTGTCTGGAGCAAATAATAAATATAAAAGAATCTATTTTCCATTTTGACAGTGTAATTGGCCAGGTGGGAAGAGTAGATATGATCCACATTGACTTTACGTAAGACTTTAATAGGGTTGCACACAGCCTTGTCAAAAGCAAACATGAGAAAGAGAACCTAAGACAAATACTACACGTTTTGACTCGAACACTGAAAAAAGAAGTCAAAATGCTGTTATCAGTAGTTTGCTGACAAAATGAGAGAACATATTAAGTAAGGTTTTATGAGAAAAAGTCACAAGTCTAGTTCTGTTCAAGATTTTTATTAATGACCTGGCCAATGGAATTGCCAACTTAAAAAAAAAAAACACCAAATTGTTAGTGGCTGTGAGCCCTTTAGAGGACAAAAGTGTAATTTAAAGTAGATCTTGATAATAGGGAGAGATGGTCTGGAATCAGTAAGGTGAATTTCAATAAAGGCACCTGTGAATTATCACACTTACAAAGAAAAAGCTTAATGCACATATAAAAGAGGGACTGATTGACCTGGAAGTGTACTACAGAAAAAGAGTAGGAATTAATCTTAGTTACAACACCAGTGTTGCAAAAAAAGTCAAGTCAGGACAACATCAGGTATTCTGGGATGTGTTACTGGGAACGGACTATGCAAGACATCGGAGACAAGAGCCAACACGCTGACCATGCCAGGCATTCTTTACAGGACACCCTTCCCCTTTCCTTCCAACCCTGCATTTATTTGCATGAGTTTATCATCAATGGAGCAGCAATGAGTAAGAACCAACTGAAAAAGGGATGCATTGCAGAAAGCACTGTGGAAAGACAAAATAAAAGAGAGTTCCTACTCCATCGAGCTTGCTGCTTCAGCAAATAAGGCTGACGAAGTGCAGCAATGTGAGACTTTGGAACACAGTCAGGAGAGCAAAATCTTTTTTGTACTTTCTCATCATTTCTATCAAATGATTTTTTTTTTCTCCTTAACCACATCCTGTGATTCAAATCCCAGTCTCTACTGAGAGCAAGCTTCTAGGACACACAGTTCCTGAAAAAAGCAACAAATCAAACCCACAAGACAACCTGGAAGCCAAGCTTCCTTGAGCTGCAGAGAAACCCTGCGTGGATCCATCTCTGGCAGCTAACTGCTGCCAAGCTTCACACAGGCTCAGAAGATCCCTGCAGCGGCTGCCTTCGCATCCCTTTTGCTAATCTCCCCGCATCTTCAGGCGCCAGGATCACTTTGGGAAACTATACACCTGAGCAAACACTTGGAGATCATGATTTCCCATTTAAATGCGATGTAAGATCATTCCTTATTTAAGGGATGTCACCAACACAGCAGTATTTGAAGCAGATACCCTCCACCAAACAGTGAAGGCTTCAGGAGATATTGATAGAAGACTACATGCAAACCTGAACAACAGCAATGAAATTAGAAGCAGAAAGGCCTGGCAAACTGAGGACTAAACAAAACCCAAAAGCTTTTGTTTCTCTTCTCAGAATTGAGAGACAAATCTTTACTCACCAGCTAGAACTACCATAAAATGTGTTTAACTTTAGCCGAGCACACAAAATTGCTGGGTGACTATTAGCTACTTTAATTTTAGAGGCAAGAATGGATTCTTACATTGTTTAAGTACAAGTAGTGGCTGGTGTACACATTGCAAAGACAACCCAAGAGTTACGAGAGCAGGAAGGTAAGAGGGTTTTTCCCAAATTCCTGTCGTGCCTTTCTGCCCCTATTTCCCTTGATGAAAAGCCAAACGCAAGTTAACTCCCTGTGACTTGTCAGACAGTATTATGCACAGGAAGCAATAAAACGGCAGCACACATGAAACTGAAATGTTGGGCATGCCCGGCAAGGTGAAGGAGGGAAGGAGGGAAAATCCAGCTCTCTCCTGCTGCAGCTTGCCCAACCGCCAGCCAAATGGGTCACAAACCCAAATGCAGATGGGAAGAGAGATGACAAACACAGTGCCATGAATGATGTGTAATTCTGGCTCAAGAAAGCACACACCATGGAGCCGGGCGGACATTTCCCCCTCACCACAGGGTACCATGTCTCTCAGCTGACACCAACATATTTTCTTTAACCGCAGATTTGCTTATGTGTGGGGAAGGAAAACCCAACAACCGGAGCTCGCTCTCGTCTCCAGCCCTGCCCTCCCGTTTCTCGGTTTGCTGCTCTTTCTTACCCAGAATAATTCCATTGGGCTCCTCCGGCGGCTGCCAAACGATCCGTACGGACGTCAGCCGCACCTCAGGGAACACCAACCTCACCGGCGGCCCAGGGGCTGGAGGGAGAAACAGAGATCATGGTAGAATCACAGAATCACAGAATCTCAGGAG